TCCCAATCCCAATTCCCTCACTGATCCCAATTCCCACTCTCAAGCCTGGTCCCGGTTCTGACCCTGCTCCTGATCCCAACCCTGATCCCTTTCCTGATCCTGATCATTCCCTGATCCCATCCCCTACCCCGACCCCAATTCCCACCCCCAACTCTACCCCGGTCCTCATCCCAATCCCGATCCCAACCCCAGCTTCAATCCTGATCCCGATCCCAGTCCCGATCCCAACCCCAGCTTCAATCCTGATCCCGATCCCAATCCCGATCCCAACCCCAGCTTCGATCCCGATCCCGATCCCCATCCAGACCCCGACCCCAATTCCCACCCCCAACTCTACCCCGGTCCCGATCCCAATCCCGATCCCAACCCCAGCTTCAATCCCGATCCCGATCCCAATCCCAACCCCAGCTTCAATCCCGATCCCGATCCCCATCCAGACCCCGACCCCAATTCCCATCCAGACCCCGACCCCAATTCCCATCCCAATCCCGACCCCAATTCCCATCCCAATCCCGACCCCAGCACCACTCTCAACCTCGATCCCAATCCCAATCCAACCCTCACTGCTGATCCCGATCCCAATCCAAACCTCAATCCTGATCCCAATCCGATCCCGATCCTGATCCCAATCCAAACCTCAATCCCGATCCCAATCCAAACCCCGATCCTGATCCCAATCCAAACCTCACTGCTGATCCCGATCCCAATCCAAACCTCAATCCCGATCCCAATCCAAACCTCAATCCCGATCCCAATCCAAACCTCAATCCTGATCCCAATCCAAACCTCAATCCCGATCCCAATCCAAACCCCGATCCTGATCCCAATCCAAACCTCAATCCCGATCCCAATCCAAACCCCGATCCTGATCCCAATCCAAACCTCAATCCTGATCCCAATCCAAACCTCAATCCTGATCCCAATCCAAACCTCAATCCTGATCCCAATCCGATCCCGATCCTGATCCCAATCCAAACCTCAATCCTGATCCCAATCCAACCCTCACTCCTGACCCCAATCCGATTCTGATCCCAATCCAAACCTCAATCCTGATCCCAATCCAAACCCCGATCCCGATCCCAATCCTATCCCGATCCTGATCCCAATCCAAACCCCGATCCTGATCCCAATCCAAACCCCGATCCCGATCCCGATCCCGATCCCATCCAAACCCCAATCCCGACCCCCGGTCCCGCTCCCGGTCCCGCTCCCGATCCCATCCAACCCTCAGTCCCGATCCCGATCCCGATCCCAGTCCTGATCCCGATCCCGATCCCATCCCAAACCCCGCTCCCGATCCCGCTCCCGATCCCACTCCCGCTCCCCCCCTCACCGCTCCCATTCCCATTCCCGCTCCCATTCCCGATCCCGCTCCCGCTCCCATTCCCGCTCCCCCCTCACCGCTCCCATTCCCGCTCCCGCTCCCATTCCCGCTCCCATTCCCGATCCCGCTCCCGATCCCATTCCCGCTCCCCCCCTCACCGCTCCCATTCCCGCTCCCGCTCCCATTCCCGCTCCCCCCTCACCGCTCCCTCGACACCTCCCGATCGCCGCCGCCATTTTCGTCCTTCCCGCGCTCCGTTAACGCGCCGCGCGCGCTGATGGCGTCACGGCGCGTCTGACGTCATCGCCGCGCGCCGGCGGGGCGGCATGGCCGGCATGGCGGAGGCGGCGGGGCCGCGGGCGCTGTTCCTGGGCGGGCTGGCCGCGGTTTACATCGCCGCCTTCGGATCCCTCTACGTGCAGATCCCCGGTACCGCCGCGGGGGAACCGGGAACCGCCACACGGCCGCGGGGGAACCGGGACTGGGGTCGGGGGAACCGGGACAGGTCTGAGAGTGAGACCGGGGGAACCGGGACAGGTCCGGGAGAACCGGGACAGATCTGAGAGTGAGACCGGGGGAACCGGGACAGGTCCGGGAGAACCGGGACGGGTTCGGGATGAGACCGGGAGAACCGGGACAGGTCCGGGAGTGGAACCAGGACGGGTTCGGGAGTGGAACCGGGAGAACCGGGACGGGTTCGGGATGAGACCGGGAGAACCGGGACGGGTTCGGGAGAACCGGGACAGGTCTGAGAGTGAGACCGGGGGAACCGGGACAGGTCCGGGATGAGACCGGGGGAACCGGGACGGGTTCGGGATGAGACCGGGAGAACCGGGACGGGTTCGGGAGTGGAACCGGGAGAACCGGGACAGGTCTGAGAGTGAGACCGGGGGAACCGGGACAGGTCCGGGATGAGACCGGGAGAACCGGGACGGGTTCGGGAGAACCGGGACAGGTCCGGGAGTGGGGCCGGGAGAACCGGGACAGGTCCGGGAGTGGAACCAGGATAGAACCGGGACGGGTTCGGGATGAGACCGGGGGAACCGGGACAGGTCTGAGAGTGAGACCGGAGGAACCGGGCCCGGTACCGGGAGGAAATGCGGCGGAACCGGTCCCGGTCCAGCCGCCGTCCCGTCCCGCAGCCGCGCCGGTCTCTCCGTGTCCCCGGTACCGATTTCGCTCCTCCCGCCGCCTCCATCTCCCCGCTCCCCTCCCCGGGAACGGCCCCGCTCCCGCTCCCGTTCCCGGTCCCTTCCCCGCTCCCGCTCCGTCCCGGCGGCTCCGCCACATCCCGGGCCCGTTCCCGGTCCCTTCCCCATTCCCGGTCCTTCCCCGTTCCCGGTCCCATTCCCGGTTATTCCCGGTTGTTCCCGGTTGTTCCCAGTCCCGGTCCCGTTCCCGGTTGTTCCTGGTCGTTCCCTATTCCCGTTCCCGGTTGTTCCCGGTCGTTCCCGGTTGTTCCCAGTCCCGTTCCCGGTTATTCCCGGTCGTTCCCAGTCGTTCCCGGTCGTTCCCGGTCATTCCCGGTTATTCCCGGTTATTCCCGGTTGTTTCTCGGTCATTCCCGGTTATTCCCGGTTGTTTCCCGGTTATTCCCGGTCATTCCCGGTTATTCCCGGTTGTTTCCCGGTTATTCCCGGTCATTCCCGGTCATTCCCGGTCATTCCCGGTCGTTCCCGGTTATTCCC